TAGCAGGCTGTGTCCAAGGTGGAAGTGATGGGTCTGATCGGAACAAGCGCTACGCAGCAGGCTTGCATCACGAGAAGAATGGAAGATGGATTGCGTCATGTGAAGGGATGCTCGTGCGTGCAGACAGTATCTGGATGGGAGCCAAGGGATACAGAAGCGGAACCAGGGGAAGGTGGAACACTGATACAGACGTCGAACTCATTGAGAAGGCTCGTCTGCTTTCTGCAAGTCGCGTTTCCTAGCCTCGAGAGTGAGGGCAAGATCGGCGCCGCTTGCCTGAGATAGAACTCCAGCAAGTCTGCTAGCAGGTGCAGAGAGGAGACCGACAATCTGAGCGCGGAGGGTTGCGAGGTCTGGCAACTTGCCTACGGCACCAAGAGCAGGAACATCGAGCAAGGTCTTGCCTTCGGCTACCGCAACGAGAGGAACGAGAACAGGTGTTTTCTCGATCGTTCGTTGGATAGCCTCCGCTTCACCAGGCTTCAATTTTCCTCCCAATCGAGCTCGCTCCTGCGCAATCACCTTGCTGCCCGAATGCTTCTCAAGCACTCTGAGCACGCGTGAAAGGTAATTTGGGTCCAAACGAGGCACCGTCAGCATGGCTGTAGGTCCCTTGAGATGCTCTTCCAGACTCTGGATAGCATTGGAAGAGTGGGCTCGAACCAGGGGACGCAAAAGCGCGGTTCGAGACACTGTCAACTTGGCGCCTTCGGAGCTTCCGCTGGCCTCGAGGCCCGGCACCGCTGCAGGCACGCCTGCTGCCTTGATCTCCTTTCTGATCTGATTGAAAGTGGGCACGTCGATGTTGCGGTGCGCCAACAAGACGATGAGGGGAGCTGTATCGAGGAAGGACTTGTACTGGTCGAACAGGAATCGCTTCCTCTCCGGATACACCCTGCCTTCCCTCTTGGACCACTCGATCGGCGACAACGGTTGACCAGCCGCGCCCGCAGTGGGAGCGATGAAAGCCTCGCGCCTCGCAGACGACGTGAACGCACGTTGCGAAACTGAAGACGAAGCATGGGCCACGGGCAGGTTCGAAGAAGCGATCGCGGAAGCTCGACGCACCGTGTAGAGGTTGATCTTGCGTGTCTCACGCGCGACGCCATCCTCTCCATCAGTCCACTTTATTCCAGGAGTGCGCAGGGCCGCTTTGGAGGTACTGGCCAAAAGAGAGCTGTTGTTCACCTCTGGTGTCTCGGCAGCTGAGGGGGGTGCGGCTTCAGCAACACTTCCCATAGCGAGAGCTCGGGGTCTAGCAGAAGCACTGAAGGCGCGCTTTCCACCGTCAAGGGCCACCTGCACTGCGGTTGGATGGGCTGTGCGGGAGGTGCTCGAGCTGGATGCGAGCGAGTGGAAGCTTCGCACTTGAGTGCCGCCAGGCCCGATTTCAGGTGCGTTGGGGTCGTTGCGAGGCTCCAAGAAATGTTCGCCTTGGCTCTTGGACTCATGCGGGGTGGGCACCTGGAACGTGGTGTCCTTGAGTGACATGAGGCGTTCTTGATCGGCTCCATCTTCAAAAACGTCACCTATGCCCCAGTATGCCGACGGTTCGACCGAGCGCTCGATACCGTTTCTCTGGCTTTCGCGAGTCAGGTGCTTGACATCATCCCAAGCTAGCTTCTTGTCGAGTGCGGCAAAGTTCTCCTCAATACGCTGGGGGTTAGAGGACTTGACAATGGGGATGATGCCTCGCGCCAAGCACCAGGAAATGTATACCTGCGCGGGTGTCATATTGTTGCGTTGAGCAATGTCCTGCACGACCTCGTTTTGCAAGTAGCGTTCCACATTGTAGTTGCCGCCCAATGGAGAGTGCGCTTGCAGGAAGATCTGGTTGGCTTCCGAGTAATGCAGCAGCTCGTCGTTGGCAACTCCCCAATTGACTTCGACCTGGTTGACGACGGGCTTGATCTCTGGGTCAGCGGCTAACATTTCTTCAGTACGCCTGATGTTGAAGTTCGAGAGGCCAATATTCCGGATCTTGCCTTTCTTCACTTGCTCCTCGAGCTTGGTCCAAGTAACTGCGATATTCTCCGAAAGCTTGGCCTCTTCAACAGGATGACCAGCTTGGCCTTTTAGAGAATTGATCTGAGAAGCGTTGGGGTTGGAGAACGCGACGGGCCTGTGCATAGGTTGGCGCGATGAACAGTAAGCGATTGGCCGAGCGATGCTACCGGCCGCGCGAAGGCTCACCAGTGCACCAGATACAGATCCAGATAGTCTACGCCAAGGTCCTTGAGCGAAGTGTCTAGGCCCACCTCGACATTGTCGCCATGGAAGGAGTTCCACAACTTTGAAGTGAGCCACAGCTCATCGCGGTGAACACCGCTCTTGCGGATGGCGTCACCAACAGCATCCTCGTTCTTGTACACCCACGCCGCGTCAAGGTGCCTGTAGCCTGTCTTCAGCGCATGCGCCACAGATGCATTGGCTTGCTCCTTGTTGAGATTGTAAACGCTGTAGGTCAAAAGAAGCGCGTGTGAGCGACAGGTTTTCTGATCGAAGCTTACGCCGTACTCACCCAAATCCGATCTGGGGGATCTTGGCTCCATTTGCGAGCGTCCATGTCTTCGAAGAAGCCGCTCGGCGAGCGACAAGGGAAGCATGCATCGTTACAAAGCGTGATCTGGGTGTGTTGTGAGAGGAGAAGCAGTGGAGTGGGGCGGGATGGGATGGGGCAGAAGTTGCTCAGCACTTCTCGCCGTTTATGGGATCGAGACTGTCGGATTGGTGATAATCCGAAAGATTCGCGAGTGGAGTCGAGAAGAATGTGCGTCCTCTACTCGACACGGACCAGCGCATATGTCGTAGTGATGGAGGTAGACAAGCCAGCGTGCGTCTAGCTGGCGTGAGCAAGTCGAGAAGCCGGCACACAGCAGCAGCATCAAGCGCGATCGTCACGTCTGCTGCTGGCTTTGCTCATGCTCCTCCTTCTTCGCGTGCTTACCGAACCTGATTGACCCGCGCGCTTTCCTCTGCTCTTCCGCCTCTTTTCGGTCTTTCGACGCGCCGGGGCAGCAAGCACGCGCGCCCACGCGGTTCGAACGGACCCGCGGCCGTGGAGCGCGAGCGGCGCAGACTCACGACTGCTCAGCGTAGCTTAATAGAGCGCTCCTGCTGGCCTGCTGGCCAAGGATCAGAGGCAGCAAGCATGCGCTTTCGCCCAGCTAATGCTGGCTGCTGCTTGCTCCCTCTCCACTGTAGTCGTGAGTGCGTGCCGTGCGGGGTACGAGTTAATGGGACTGCTGTGGAGGCATCAGTCACGAGTGCACATCTCTCTTACTTGCGCAAGCCTGCGCTCTGCTACATACACCTTCAAGTCAACATACATAGAGCACAGTGTGAGTGCCATGCTGTCATGCAAGGGATCTAGCGCAGGCTAGCTGTACTCCCTTGGGTAGCTGCCACACGT